TGGTCTTAAGACCAAGACCAACTTCGAGTACCACAACACTGGGTTCAGGCATGTCATCTTCCTCCATGGAGCTAAATATGAAATACTTTCACCTGTCTACAGCTTTAGCTTCTTCTCTCTTCAACGCTGTTTGTCGTCATCTCTCTTCAGCTCTGTCTTCATCTCTCTCTCTCTTCGTCTCTCTCTCTTTTCATCTCTCTCTCTCCATCTCTTGGCAGTATCTTCTGATGTGTTCAGACGTTTAGCATTCTCTGTGAAACAGCAGTTTTGTTTTTTTAGTCGTAAATAAGAGTCTAAATCCTTCCCCCCAGATTTTTTTCTTTTTTCATCCTGATCTTTGTCTAAAATCCCGTTCCCGTCCTCATATCCTGGTAATCAATCCTGTCTGTCTCTTCCAGGTTTCGGCTGCCGCTGTGGGAATCTGTTCTGCGGGATCCACCGCTACTCCGACAAACACGACTGTCCGTACGACTACAAAGCTGACGCCGCTGCCAAGATCCGTAAGGAGAATCCCATGGTGGTGGCCGAGAAGATCCAGAGAATATGAACGCTCCATTCTGTTGGACTTTTAACAGATTTCAGAACACGGACCTGAACTCGGCTTCTGTTCCTTCATTCTCCCTCCGGTTCCGACCCGGCTCACATTTTATGCTAACATGATTTTTCTTCTTCTTCTCATGATTTCTCGTCGGCGTTTGGAGCTTTAATGCTGGCTGAGGAGGAGGCGGATTAAGGTGTGGCTTCCCTTTAAAAACATCCTGCTAATGGCTTCCCGCTCCGGTTTGTCTGATGAAATCTGCCCGGTAACAACGCCAACTCGGACTAACGGGCTGAAATCTGCCCGGTAACGGCGTTAGCCCGGACTATCGGGCAGTCTACGCTTGCTCTCTGCTGGCTTGAGTAGCAAAATAGATTCGTTTAACCGTCTGGATTTCTGCCAAGACACAAACCCAAACTTGGATTCCTTGTAGGAGACATTTTTGCCAACTTTTGTGCTTCACTTCCTGTGGCGTTGGGCTCTAACGGAGTCCTCAAACCGTCCAAGACTGATTGTTGCCGTTAACTTAGCTCTCCTGAACACTAGTGTGTGTGCAGTTTGTACGACTCGTTTTGGAAGGGGTTCATCTTTCACCTGTTGTTTTTTTCTTTAAGAAGTGACGTTGTGGGGAAGCGATGATTTAACTGATTGGTGGTTGAAAGTTTTACAATTTCCATTAATTTTGTTTTGTCTGTTTTTGGGTCTTGCTGCTTTTTTTTTTTAACCCCTCTTAGTTCTAAAAGTTTGTATATCGTATTTATATTCTGCAGTGTGTGTGTGTGTTTAATCTTCCATTATTGTATTATGTAAATAAATTATGTTCACAAATACATAAAATGGAATGTTTGGTCATTGTTAAATGTGGTGTAGAATAACATCAGTTAATTTATTTCAAACTGTTTTCACACTTAATAGTCAAGAGTTTTTCCTACCATTTAACTTTCTGCTATAGAAACAAATACAATGAATCTCATTTCAGAAGCTGTAATTAATTTTCTATTCTACCAGTGTATGTCTCCTTTTTACAGTTATTAAAGTTGTAAAGGGTCAAAATTGATCCTGTAAATGTATTAATGACCATTAAATGGAAATATTAACTTCTGTTTTTTACATATCAGAAATGTGATTTTTACCCCACCTGGTGGCCAATCAAACCTTTTCTGAAGGTGAATTTCAGGAGAAAAATAAACTTGCATTTGTTTCCTTTAAAATCTCAGCTGAATATTTATGCCCTCAGTTAAACTTAATATAACTTATTTAGAGGGAAATTAACAGGAAAAATTAAGCTTTTCTTTTTGGAAATATTTGTTATTTTAGGAAATCTTTATTTGGCTGACCTTGTCTTCACATGAGGTGTCAAAGGTCAACTGGCTGTAAGAACAGTCATGGATAATGACTGTGTAATCGAGTCATTATCCATGTGAAACATGAGCTCGGCTCGATTTTTAACGAGGCGTTGTGCAGCTCAACTTTCTCACCTCCCTCTTCAAGATCGGCTGATTCCTCATCCAAACTGCACCAAGAGGAGAAGAGACTATGGAAAGCCATGTGTGCCACAAATTAACACTTTTACCATGCATCCGTTTAGAAAGTCACAAAAAAAAATTGGCGGCTTGTGATTCTTATAAAAAAGGCAAAAATCCTGTCAAAACATCTATAAATGCTGTAATTTTTAGAACATAGTCTTTTGCCATATTTTACAGCTTTCTGAGCCATAAACTGGCATTTTTTTGTGACTTTTTAGCCAGACTTTTAACTGGTGCAACTTGTGGCACTTTTGACCTTCCATAATAAACTCTCAGACGCATGATCAGTATAAACGGTATAATTTTTAGAACGTAGTCCTTACAATAGCGTAAAAAGCGTTGTTTTGACAGGATTTTCACCATATTTTACTCCTTTCTAAGCCATAAGCCGACATTTTTTTTGCGTGACTTTTTGTGTTTAAAAAAAATTTGCGATTTGTGGCACTTTTGGCCTTCCGTAAAAGCCTCTCCGATGCAGAGCCACGTGCTCGTGTTTACAGCTGCTAAATGAGCCTCTCACAGGGAAACCTAAACCTTCATTAAATCTTTAAGATGGTTGCCGCTGTCCTCTCGGGTGACAGACCGAGTGAGAGTGTTTCAGCGACTCTTTACCAACTTTTTGTTCCCAAGAAAGGAAACCTGCGCCATTACACCTGGACAGGTACGGCACTGCCGTCTGTTCATGACCCCCCACTCTGAGCAATAAAGCTGAGGTTTTACTTCATCACCTTTTTTTTATTTTTTATTAATTCTTTTTTTGCAGATCTGCACCTCACAACAAAACACCCTTTGTCACCTGCGTGCGGCCGTCGCCATGGTAACAGAGCTGTTAGACATCTGAGTTGGTCTCTGGCGGGAAGCCGAGGCAGAGCAGACGGAGGGCGACGGAAAGAGAGAGGATCATGCCGAGAAGAAGCGCAGCGGCCGAGGACGGTGAGGCCATAATCCAGAAATCTGCCTTTAATTTAACCACGTTTCATTTTAAATATGCTGGATTTTGTTTTGGGAATATTTCTAAATTATGAGTTTGGTTTGCAGCAGATTATTTTGATTGATTTCTTATTTATTCAGTCACTTACTAAATTAATTGTTATCTAAGACATGGTAGGTAAAAAAAAAACAATTCTGAAAATTTGAGATTAGTTGCTGATTTTTTTAGAGTATTCTCAGAAATATTCAAGAAAAAAAAAACTGGAGACTTCTGAATTAGAAAAATCAAACATTTACTATAAAAACCCCAGGAATTTTTAGATTAATCTCAGAAATTTTCTGGAAAAAGTCTTGGAAACTTCTGAGCTGCAAAAGAGAAAATTTGTAGGAAAAAAAAAACTGAAATTTTGAGGTTAATTTGAGAAATTCTCTAAATACAACTTGGACATTTCAGAATTTGCTAAGTAAAAAAGAGTTAGTGTCATTTTCAGATTATTTCACTAATAACATGGAAAATGTCTTTATACATGTGAAGTAATCTGCTAGTGGAACTGGAACTTTTTCATCAATATTAAATTATTTATGTAAAACAAGAAGCTCCAGGTCTTGCTAAAATATTATCTCTGGTAAGTTTTTTTCTTATTTCAAGTGTGATAAGATATTTGCAGCAGAAACTAAACAAAAATACGATTTTATGTTTTTGCAGTTTATATATTTTTTAATTTTGCATACAAGTTTGTCAAAATTTATCCTTCAATAAATACAATTTTTCTTTCATCCACGGTTTTCCTCAGTTGAAATTGATATAGATGAAGATGTGACCGACAGCGATGGTGAGTAAAAAACTTTTATAATTTAGATCAGAAACTCATGATGTCGGCGTATTAAGGGCCGACATCATGAGTTGTAGATTTCCGCCAAAAATAATCAGAAACTTTGAGATTAATCTAAACATTTCTGAAGTTTGAAAAGTCGAAAAACTTGCTGGAAAAAAATTAAAATTTTCAAATTCATCTCAAAGTTTTTTTTTATTTTACAAAAAAAATAAAAAATTCTGAGTTAGAAAAATCCAAAATTTTTTACAAAAACTCAGAATTTAGAGATTTATCTTATAACATTTCTAGAAAATAACTTGGAAACTTCTGAGTTTGAATTTCATTTAAATTTTGAGTTTTTTTTATTTCTGAGCTTTATTTGAAAATATCTTAGTTTTTTTCAAGCAAACTCAAAAACTTTTCCAAGTTTTTTTTTTATAGAAAATTTCTGAAATTAACTTCAGGTTTTCTGAAATTCTTTCTAGCAAATATTCAACTCTGAAATTTCTAGAAAATTCTAGAAATTTCTGAGTTTCTTCTAGCAAATATTCAAACTCAGATTTTTTCTCTAGAAAATTCCTGATTAATCTAAAAAAAAAAAAAAAAGGTTTATTTTGGCAAAAATTTGCTCCTTTTTTCTGTCTAAATTGGCTCTAATTTGCTTCCGTAGCTCAGTATTTCATATTGTGTTTAATGTGATTTAATGTTTAGACGGCGGCAACCGGAGGAGAGCGAACAGGAGGCCGGCAGGTGGACGAGGAGGAGGAAGAGGGAGAGGAAGAGGTAAGAAGGCCGGCAGCGACGAAGAGGAAGATGATGAAGATGAAGCTCCAAAGGGACGAGGAAGAGGAGGAAACAGGAGGAAGCCCGCCAATAAACGGGGCGGGGGTAAGAACAACGACGATGATGATGACAGTGAAGATGAGTCTCCTAAGAAGAAGAGAGGAGGAGCAGCGAACCGGAAGAAAGGTGGCAAAGCCCAAGACAGTGATGAAGACGACAGCGACGATGGGAAAGGAAAGAGAGGAAAGAAAGGAGGGAAGAAAGGAGGGAAGGAGGAGGAGAGCGGGAAGGGAAAGAAAGGCGACGCCAAAGGAAAAGACAAAGGGAAAGATAAAGATGACGACAAGAAGAAGAAGAAGAAAAAGGGTGACAGGTAGGAGAATGTTTTAATATTATACCTTCACCTCCCCTTTAATCAAACACGCTGCCCTCTGGTGGACGATCAGAGTATTACAGGTGGTCATTTAAAGGTGACCCATTATTCCTCTGAACAGGTTAGGAAACAAAAATTTTTGCACATCATTTTTAGATAATGAGATTTTAGCTATACAACCGTACATCTTTGAGAAGCAAAAGTGGAACCTCCTGCACAACCAACAAGAATGCTTCAAGTGATTTCTGGATGGCAAGTCAACAAAAGACTTTGTCTTTTCCAGCAGCCATTGTGCAGCGGTAAAACCAGCTAACGAAATGTGCTGGAGCTCTGCTTTGCTTGCTAGATAACGGGCCGAACTCTGCTGAGGTTGCTAGGTAACCGGTTGAATGCCGCTGGGGATGCTGGGGTACGGGCGGAACTCCGCTGGGGTTGCTAGGAAACAGTGCCCGGTGATTTGTGAAGTTACATTCAGGAGGTTTTTGAAACTACTCGTTTTTCAGAAACCAAAAAGCATAAACTTATAACCAAAAACTAGCAGAGTGTTTTTTCTTTGAAAACATTTTTTTTTTTCAGTTCAGGCTTAGAAAAATAGATATAGTAACAAAAGTTGTGCAAGTTAACATAAATTTATCAATATGACTGTCATATAGCTCCATACAAGTTGATTTCCTAAAATGTATTTTCTGATCACTTTTAACAGACTTTGCTTTAAACTGGGAAGCGAATGTTATAATATTTTATGTTTAAAAACTAACTTGGCTCCGTTTCTCCTGCAGTTCGTCGGACTCCAACTCGAACTCAGACGAGGAGGAGGAGTCCATGTCGGAGGGGGAGATGGCACGGCTGATGGAGGAGGTGGAGGAGAAGAAGAAGCTGATCGCCACCATAAGGAACAAGCCTTGGCGGATGAAGCGGAGGCTGGTTCTCTTAAAGTAACGTCACAAAAACTCAGATTCTTCAATTTCTGTGTCTGGAGAACAAAGGTGGAAAATTTGAACAGAGCCGGCCCAAGTCATATACAAATTAAGCAGCTGCTTAGGACCTCCACACCACCAGGGGACACCCAAGAGCATCAAGCTAATGGCTAATATATATACATATATATAATTAAACTAAATGTTATTACACATTAAAAAATTATGTTTTTGAAGTTTTTATGTGCTACTGTTGGGGAAACATGATATCAGACTTGCTAACTTTTTTACTGTAAATTTACTGTTCATCAGCTGATGTTACTTTCAAATAATTAAAATAATACGACACACTTAAATCCCATTCTGCATCTCAAAATCCAAATAGTAATATTTGTTTGTTTGCTACTCCTGTAAGGTTGAAATCAACAGCCATAATAACACTGGCATGATGTAAGCTAATTACAAATATCGCTAATGCTACACACATAGAGTAGCTTAGGAATAATGAAGCATCTGGTGTTTACATGCTGGTATGTGGGGCCCAAATAAAAATCTGCTTCGGGACCCAAAAAGGCTTTGGCCGACCCTGTTTAGACAAATATAAACCAACCAAAGCATCATCTGCATATTGTTGGAGTTTATTGAGTGTTTTATGCTGCTCTGCAGGGAAGCTCAACAATTTGTTGATAAGTTTGAAGGTGCTCTGGGGAAAGGAAAAGGCAGGAAGTGGTACGCCTACAAAGTCATGATGACCAAGGTTTGGATAAAAAAAACAGCTAAATTTTGTCTTATTTTCTTTGATTAGCTTTTGTTTTCAGACTGTGTGCTTTGTCATGTTTTGTTTTAGAAATGGATTAAGTTTCAGAGAGATTTTGAGAATTTCAGAACAGCCTGCATCCCCTGGGAGAGGAAGATTAAAGAGGTGGAAAGTAAGTTTAGTTTAACAGAAAACTAATCAGATTTAGTAAACGCCATATTTAAAAATGTGTTTCTGAATCTTTAGGCCACTTTGGCTCATCAGTCGCTTCTTACTTCATCTTCCTGCGCTGGATGTACGGCATGAATCTCGTCCTGTTTGGTCTCACCTTTGGACTCGTCGTCATTCCTGAGGTGAGTTACTGCAGTTCAGAGTGTTAAAAAAGGAGTGGATTTCTGCCAAAAAAACCCACGAAATTGTTTGATGAATCTCAGAAATTTTCTAGAAAATAACTTGAAAATCTCTGGGTTTCAAAGGTCTAAAATTTTAAAGAAAAAACTCAGAGATTTTAAGATTAATTTCAGAAATGTTCTGGAAAAAAGTTGGAAAAAAAGTTAGATTCAAAAGTTGAAATTTTTCTTGAAACAACTAAAAAAACTTTTTGTTTCATATCAGTAATTGTCTAGAAAAAACTAGGAAATTAAATGGTTTCAAAAGTTCACAATTTGATAAATAAGACTAAAATTTTTAGATTCATTTCAGAAATTTTCGACAAAAAAAGTTACATTTCAGAGCTGCGTTGAAAATTTGCTAGAAAAAATCTGAACTTTTTAGATTTATATCATAATATTTCTAGAAAAACTCCGGGTGAAAAGTAAAAAAAAATGTGCAACTTTAGAAAATAAAAAAATCATATTTGAATAATTTTGACTTTTCAAACTCGAACATTTCCAAGTTATTTTTCTTGAAAACTTTTTGAGATTTTTCTAGCAGGTTTGTGACCTTTCAAACTTAGAAATGTTAACATTTTTTAAAGAAAATTTCTGAGATTAATCTACATTTTTCTGTAGCAAATTTCTGACTTTTCATACTCAGAAATCACTTTGTTTTTTCAAGACCATTTCTGAGATTAATTTAAACATTTCTGAGTTTTTTTAAAATGTAAATTTACTCTTTTTTTCTGTTTACGACGGTCCTAACAGGCCGTTGTAAAAAAGAGAAGAAATGAACTCTTTACGTTAAACTGTCCAGGTCCTCATGGGTCTTCCTTATGGGTCCATTCCCAGAAAGACAGTACCGAGAGCAGAGCAGGACACAGCTCAGGATTATTCAGTTCTCATGGACTTCAACGTGAGTATCAGAAAAGACGACATTTATTTCCTCCTTTCTTTATATTTTCCTTCCAAGCAGAAGAACTGCCTTTATCATCGGTTCTTTAGGGTTGCAAAAGGTTTTACTTTTTGCTGTTACAAACGGCCCAATGGAAGATTATTTGTTGCTTTATCAGTTGAAATTTCACATCAGCATTCTTACTTCAATGGTTAGTGCCCAACTACAAGATTAGCGTTGCTAACTCTAAAGCAGTAATCAGAAGCTAACTCCAAAGCTCTACATAAATAAGGTATTTAGTGGAAGCTAATGCTAAAGCTCTTTATTCAACAATGTGACCAGCCCAATTGGATGGAAATCCACCCAATCTGGCAACATTGCCCAAATCTTCTACTCAGAAAATGAGAAGACTTTGACGCCTCCGTAAGAGAAAGCTTTCATATCCACTTGGCCAACTCCCTGCCTTTCTGAAAACCTTTTTCTACCTTTCAGGGATACTGTAAATACTCGGTCCTGTTCTATGGATATTACGATGACAAGAGAACCATCGGTCCACTGAAGTTCAGGTTGCCTCTGTCCTACCTTATGGTGGGAATCGGGAGCTTCGGATACAGCCTGATGCTGGTGATCCGGACGTGAGTCTCCAGAACATCACTGCATAATAAATGGCCGAAGCCAATTAGTGGCAGTCTGTTTCTGGTTGGTTGTTTAGAATGGCTAAAAACGCCGACGTTGGCGGAGGAGATGGAGAAGAAGGCGAGTTCACCTTCGCCTGGAAGATGTTCACCAGTTGGGACTACCTCATCGGCAATGCCGAAACCGCTGACAACAAGTACGCCTCCATCACCACCAGCTTTAAGGTACCTCACAGCCTCTGGGATGGCATTCTCAGACTCTGACTTTGACCAACCGCCAACCTTCAACGTTGTTTCTTGGTAAGAACAGGAATCCATCGTGGACGAGCAAGAGAACCAGAAGGACGAGAACATCCACCTGCGGCGGTTTCTCCGGGTTCTGGCCAACTTCCTGATCACCTGCAGTCTTGGCGGCAGCGGCTACCTCATCTACTTTGTGGTGAAGAGATCGCAGGAATTTGCAAACAGGGATGACCTGAGTTGGTACGAGAAGAATGAGGTAAAGAAGTTCTAGATACACACACCAGGAGAAAACAAAGACTCCTGGTTTCATTGATGGCTGTGGCGTGTCTCACCAGTTGGAGATCATCATGTCCCTGCTGGGTTTGGTGTGTCCGCCTCTGTTTGAGACGATCGCTGAACTGGAGGACTACCATCCTCGAATCGCCCTGAAGTGGCAGCTGGGACGCATCTTTGCCCTCTTCCTGGGAAACCTCTACACCTTCCTGTTCGCCCTGTTTGATGAGGTCAACAGTAAGGTATGCTAGTGCTAATGCTAGCTGCGCTTCAGTCATTTCGCTGTTCTTACCAAATAATGCAGCAGATAATTGAATGTCTCGGTAAAATCTTTCCCATGTGGATGCAACAAGGTACAGATATTCCCAAAAAAACATTAGCCACTGAAAAATTCAAGATGACTGCCATGGTCAACAAGGAGATTTTATTTTTGCATTGGATTTGCGAATATTTGTCACAGATGAACAAAAGTTGAAAACTTGCTAGAAAAATCTCTGAACTTTTGAGATTAATCTCAGAAATGTTTTAGAAAAAAACTTGGAAATTTCTGACTGTTTATCATTGAGTATCATGTGACTGGATTATACTGGTATCCAGTTAGTTTAGGGTTTATATCTGTATCACTGGAAGTTAACTGGATATGTTTGTCTTTATAACGTAGTGAAAATGTTCCACACAGAGCATCAAATTAAAGTTTTGTGATGCATTTAAACCTTTTTTCTCGCCGTTATTAGAAACCTGACCACTGACTGGGTTGTTTTTCCTCCAGCTGGAGGAGGAGCAGTCCATCAAAAACGCCTCCATCTGGGCCATGAAGGAGTACTACGCCAACTACACGCGTATGCTCAACGATTCGGACGCCACTCCACCTCCCATGAACCCGGCTGATGTCATCAGAGGACCCTGCTGGGAGACGCTCGTCGGCATAGTAACAATAACAATGTTTATCTCTCATCCATTATTTTACCCTGAAAGTTTGTTTTAGTCAGAAACTTTAAGAGTAAAAAATATTTGGTAAAAAGTCTACTGAAGTACTGAATAACTGATCAAATGATCAATTTAAAAATTATCATCAATATAAAGTATAAAGTTAAGTGGAAATTTGGGTATTTTAAGGACAAAAATTACAAGAATTCGTATAAATAACAAAAAAATAGTAAAATCAGGCTAAATAAATGTTTCCAAATCAGTTTCTTCCAATAAAAAATCTTATAAAACTTTAACACAAACTGCAGGTCCATGTCTGTCTGGTGAATTTTTGGTTAAAACATGTTTGTTTCCAACTCTGGTTACTTGATTTATGGTCATTTTGTTCCTTAAAATACCAAATTTCCACTTTATATTTTGGTCTGATGTAATTTTAAAATATTAAATGATTGACTTAATCAGTTACTCAGTACTTAATTAAACTTTTTACCAAATTTTACTTTTTCTCGAGTAAATTTCCTGAATTTTCTACCCACTGAATGAAAAACAAATAAGTTATGAAAGTTTAAGTCTCATTGGTTTTCATATTGAAAGAAACTGATTTGTAAAAAAATGTTTTTTGCTACAAGTAAGAGTAGAGATACTTTATAGTAAAATTACTCAAGTAAAAGTAAAAATACTCCCAAAAGTAATTTTTTTTCACGAGTTACTCAAGTAAATGTAACTAATTGCTACCCGACTCTGGTTCTTTGGCTTTTACGCTGAAGAATCTCAGTTTTATATGAAATGCAGATAAAATGTAACTGTTCCTGTAAATCCTGGCTGTGCTGCAGGAGTTTGTGAAGCTGACCGTCTCAGACATCCAGGTGACCTACCTGACCATCCTGATCGGCGACTTCGCCCGCGCCGTCATCGTTCGCTTCCTCAACTACTGCTGGTGCTGGGACCTGGAAGCTGGTTTTGTAAGTCACTGGAAACACTGGTTTGTATTGGAGAAACACGTAAAATACACACAGAGTTTATCTGCATTCAAAACTTTGACTGAAATTTGCATCAAATGGGAGCAGTGGCGCAACTGCACATTATTCAGGTGGATGCGAAAACATAAATCGGCGCCTCCCCCCCCGAGGGAAGAAACTTCAGGGTGAAGGACCGACGCTGAACACCCCCCACCCGAGGCGACGCTGCATGAAGTGTAACTGTAAAGCTCGCTACATGTACCTCGTTATGTGCGAGAGGTGAAGGAGCGTGAGGCGCTGAAGTGTATGGGAAAACATCATCGGCGCGTCGCCCCCTCCAGACGGGGTTTTGGCGCCCCCTCTGGTGCTGCACCCCTATGCGTTGCATATGCTGCATACCCACTTTTTGCGCCTCTGAATGGGAGTTAAACCTGGATAATGAAGGTTCCATGCTAAAGCTGATAAACCTCAAGTTGCTGGAAGGTTTTAAACTTATAATCAATGGCACAAATAGGACGCGAAATTGTCCCAGAAGTTATCGCGATAAACGATAATATTGTTGTTTTGAGACCATTTTCAAGATATAATGCAAGAACACATTCCTAACGAAATTTACCCCTTTGTTGTTTTGTTCTATTTGCAATGGCCCTAATATGCTGTCCTACTTAAACACCAGATTGTATGAGAAATATATTATAGTCTCACTTTAATTTCAGGTCCAAATAAATCTTTACATAAGATTCAAAGCACCTAGAAATATCTCAGGTGGAACCACTGATTGGTTCATTTCTCTGTCTTGTTGGTAATTGTTGTCTGATCACTTTCAGCCGTCGTATGGAGAGTTTGACATCAGTGGAAACGTTCTGGGACTGGTCTTCAACCAGGGGATGATCTGGTAAAAACTAAAAAGCTAAAGACATTGTCTGCATGTTTCTGTTTCTTGGTGCTGCTACATTATGGTAAAGTAGAATCATTAAAGGGGCAGTATCATGAAAAATCAACAAATTTTAGCTGTACCTCATGCCATGATGTTATTCAGCTGGGCAAAACTCCAGGATGGGCCTAGCCCTGCCTTCAAGGCATAGCTCCTCCCCCACTCTGCTCCTTCAGACTAGCCAGCAGCAATTAGCAAACACCTGCTGAGTTCATTATAGGAGCTACTTCTCTGGTAAAATGGTTGCTAAAGGGTTAATAGAGGAGCCATGTTGGGAAGGCGGAGCTTCAAAAAGAGCAGGAGTTTCTTAAAGAGACAGAGATCCAATTTCAAGGAGTTCAATTACAAATTCAGTTTCTTTTAAGTCATATGTGATATATGTAGCATTTTGATAACAACTGAAGGTAACATAGTTACTTGATTTTGCTATTGGATAATTTTTCTCAGAAATCTGACTTTAATCTTGAGTTTAAAGTCACATTTGCGTTTTCCTCTGGCAGGATGGGAGCGTTTTACGCCCCGGGGCTCGTGGGCATCAACGTGCTCCGCCTCCTCAGCTCCATGTACTACCAGTGCTGGGCCGTCATGGCCACCAACGTCCCGCATGAAAGAGTCTTCAAGGCCTCCAAGTCCAACAACTTCTACATGGGGCTCCTGCTGCTCATCCTCTTCCTGAGCCTGCTGCCCGTCGTTTACACCATCATGACGCTGCCGCCGTCGTTCGACTGCGGCCCCTTCAGGTAAACAAAACCAACCAAAGCTTTATGAGAGCAGAGAACACAAATATTATATTTAAAAAAATTATTAAACAACAAAAAAAAAGAGAAACCCTAAAATTTCTGAGATTGAAAAGTCAAAAATCAGCTAAAAAAAATGACATTCTGAGATTAATCTAGTCTAAAATTCTTGACTTTTGGACATTTTCTGAGTTTAAACAGTTGAAAATTTTTTAATTATAAAACTCAAAATGATGGTTTTTCAAGGAGAAAATGACACAAATTCATGTAACCAGAGTTGAGTAAATGTAATTAGTTACATTTATATTTGAGTAACTTTTTTGAAAAAATTACTTTTATTTTAACTACTTTTACTTGAGTAATTTTATTATGAAGTATTTCTTCTCTTACTTTAGTAAAAATTCTGGATTTTCTTCCCACTGAATAAAAACAAACATGTTTTAACCAAAAATTCACCAGACAGACACACACCTGAAGGTTTTGTTAATGTTTTATATTAAAAGACACTGATTTAGGAAAAAAATATTTTGCCCAATTTTATTTTCTATGTATAGCGTTTTTTTTTTATCCTTAAAATTCCAAAATTTCCACTTATCTTTATATTTTGACAAAAGAGAATTTTTCCTGGTGAATTTTTGTTTTTTCTTCACTCAGTGGATACAAAATCCAAAAGTTTTACTCAAGTAAAAGTAGAAATACTTCATAATAAAATAACTCAAAGTACAGCGTAGTTAAAGTACAGTTATTAAAAGAAGTTACACCAGTAAATATAATAGAGTAAATGTACCTAGTTACTGGTTGTCTGTGTGTTTCTGCAGCGGGAGGGCGAAGATGTTCGATGTCATCATGGAGACAATCAGGCTGGACCTGCCGGCCTTCATGGGGACTCTGTTCAGTTACGCAGCGAATCCCGGACTCATCATCCCGGCTGTGCTGCTCATGGTGTAAGTCAGGGTGTCAAACTGGAGGCTCTGGGGCCATCCGGCCCGTCAAAGCCTGTTATATGGCCCTCTCGACCATGGGGTGGCCTACTCCAGGCCTCGAGGGCTGGTCTCCTGCAACCTTTAGATATGTCTCTACTTCAACACACCTGAGTCAAATAATGAGGTCATTAGCAGGACTCTGGAAAACCTGACTGCACTGAGGAGGTGACTCAGCTGTTGGATTCAAGTGTGTTGGACCAAGGAGACATCTAAGAGTTTCAGGACGCCGGCCCTCCAGGACCAGGATTGCCCACCCCTGCTCTAGACTCTTCAATCAAAGCCAAAGAAACGGTTCTTTAATCCAGCTTATCTCTTCCAGGTTGGCCATCTATTACCTGAACTCAGTCTCCAAAGCTTACCAAAACTCAAACATGGAGCTGAAGAAGAAGATGCAGATGGTAAGTAGAGAAACAGCTTTAATGATGATAATTTATTTTTATCCAAACAGGAATGACTTAATGTCTGTCCAGTTATTAAGGAAAAGTTGTTACCTCCCTGCTTGCCTTTCCATTGTTGGTGAAGCGTTTAACTTTTCATATTTCCCTCCATCTCTTTGTGTCCAGGCCCGTGATGAAGAGAAGAACCGGAGGAATAACAAAGACAGCACCAACCAGGTCATGAAAGACCTGGAGGACCTGCTGCCCAACCGGTCCCTCAGTCCACCGCCGGAGCCTGGTCAGAACCAGAACCACCGTCACGGCTAATAAGAAGGAATGCTAGCAGCTAAACATTAGCTAAACATGAACTCCTGATTTAATCATAAATAATCATCTCTATCTAATTATATCTGATGATTTAAGTAGTTAATAATTAACAGCTAAAGCTCAGTTGCATATGAATAAGTACTAGTAAGCAACTAGTAATATGCTAAGTGTTATAAAACAAAATATGAACTTTAGGTAATGGCTAGTCATTTAATACATATTTACCTTGCTCATTTTAAAGTAGCACATCTATAAATTTACTAGCTAATAAAGCTAATAAAGTTATTATTGAGAGTTTATAATTACAAAACCATCAACAAACTATTATTTTTCATTGCTAGCTAACAATTATCCTGACTCTTCAGAAAATGTCATATTATGAGATAAAAAATGGATTTAAGTTAAGACGAAATGATCATTAATTAGTGATTATGCAAGGACTTATGGAAATGTTTTTATAAGTTCTTCATAAGCTAACTGCTCATTAGCAAGTATCGCACTATCTTCTTACAACTTTGCTGTTTATTAAATTGTGATTTGTCAAATATTTTTTTAATGTTTCACGGCTGGTGACCAGTCAGGTCACCATCTACCGGTTCACTCAGTCCTCTGGTCTGGGGCTCGCCATCCAAGTTCTTGTGAGGGCGATCTTGGTGTCTCTGGGCACGATGCCTCAAAAGTGCACCATAAGGAAAAAAAACCTGACCTGGAACAAGGTCAAAGTATAGCATGTTAAAATTCAGGATGCTAATATCAATAAAGCATAAACAATAATTCAAATAGCTCTTTTATCAATTTTCAAGTTTTTCTATGTTGTACAACAAATTCATTCTAGTTATCACAGTTAAGTATTACCAATACATCAGTAAACTAAAGAAATTAGTTCATATGTGGTAAAAATATATATACATTTCAATCTAAAAGTACCAAAGTACATCTATGACACTAAATTTAATATTCAGAATGTGGATTAGAAACCCGCATTAGCTCTGACCTATAGAAAACAGAAAGTTCCTAATAAGAGCACATTACAGCACCATGACATTAACAATGTTGAAATATTAAAACATGTACTAATAGAAAAATAAGTAAAATTACATAGAAAAAATACAACATACACAATAATAATGATATAAAATTTACAATACAATTTTATTTTTTATTAAATTTGATCAGTTATTAGGTATTTTAGCCAATTTTTAGCGAATTTATTGAGCTAACGGCTGAGCGCGTGCGAAAACTCACCGATGCTTCAATGCTACACGACTACAGGGGATTCTTTTTCCGGACTTCAGCTGTTAAGCTTTCTGAGATCTAATTAAAAAAACATATTCACTATTCCGAATTATGAATTCTGCGATACTATTTTAACATTGTCTTACCAATTTCCAAGATTCTTCAAAGAATTTAACACAATCTTACAGGCAATTCACGGAACAACTGTCAGCTTTCAGCACCCAACGGTGTTAGACGCAATCTGAGCTAAATCTCAGCACCGCAGTTAAAGGGGCGGGACAATCAACCTGATTGGCTGATGTGAAATCAGTCTGTGCCAGTTATTGGTTGTTTAAACCGTCACTAAAAGCAATCACTAAAGGGATATTTCACAGGTTTTAAAGATTTTTAGCATTTTTTTATCTACATTTATGAACATAATTACAAAGTATTCTTTTTTAACTTTATTACTTTTTAATCTCGTTGTAGAATAAGATATTAAATCAACATCTATTAATTTTTTACTTGTGTTTTTAACACTGGGTTACACATATCAAACTGAAGTTGTAATTAGTAAGATGACTACTTTAGCCACTTATAGCTAACTCCTATAACTGCAAGCTGTCCTGATTTGTTCCTAATTTTTATTGATTATGACATAATTTAACAAATTTAAAGATGAGATTATCAAAGGACTAGGGCTATCTGATTAATATTTAATCCATATTTATCTAACTAAGTAGCTACATGAGGATGAGCTAAAGATAGCTCATATGATAGGAGTTAGCTAAAAGTTTATTAGCAAATAGTCCTTCGTTTGTCATTCTTATTGAACTACTATCTTATTATGAGCTAATCAACATAACTGTAACAGTTTAACAGTTAAGTAATCACAACACACCTACGGTTGTAAAATATATACAGATTTCTTCAGTTTTTGCTAGCTTCTTGCAGTGTAGCTCACTATGTAGCTACTTGGCTAGTGGTTAATTAGCAGGTTGTATTTGATTTGAACTGAGTTGGTAAAAATAATGTTCTCATCTTATGCTAGTTTAACAATTTGAATAGAACTCCTTCAAAATGTTATCTGAATATTATGCAATAATATTTAAGCTAGCTACCAAAATATAAGCTACAGCTTATTATTCAGTAGCTAATTTTTTAGCCCTGATTCCAAAGTGTTTCCTTTCCCCTAATTTTCATCTTATTGGTATTGATTGGTGACCCATTACGGTTGTAAAGCCAAGTTTTCCTTTGCAGAAAAACCACCAGAACCAGAGGCGAAACCCACCAAAACCAAACCTGGTTCTGCTGGAAAAGGAGTAAACTTACAAAAGGATGTGGCTCTGGCTTCGTCCAACCCAAATGCTCGAGGGCCGGTAGACCGGCCACCAGGACCAAGAGGACCCGGGCCGGGTCCGGGTGCTGGACGGGGCCGAGGCCGTGGGAGAGGAGCCCCTCCCAGTTAATATTATGACCACAAAAAGAGAACAAATTAAAGTAAATATATACAAACTAATTTATTCTCAAAATTTGAGTGTAAATATGTAACATCCACTACTGTAATGAATATAAAAATGCAAAAATATTGTAGCATGACTGTAAAAAAAACAAAAACAAATGAATGTTTGTTTCAATACTTTTATTAATTTCTCTTTAAATTATGTTGCTAAGTTGTCACCCTGCATGATGACTGATATAGAGAGTAAATTGTCTTGTGCCTTTTATAATTTGTGATGTTTATACATTTGATGTCTGAAGATTTTTAAACTACAGTGGAGAAAATAGGTTAATTAAACATGCCTGGTTTTTTTTTTACAAATATGTTTCTTATTGGCTCATTGACATGAAACCCAACAGGCATGGACTTCAACCCAAGTAACCCACACATTCATGGTTGATTGATTTATTGATTTGATTTAAATAAATCGAAAACTAATTATAAATAAAAGGCAAGTGCTATATCTGCTAATTATTTGGCTTTCTATGTCTTTTTTTTTGTAGTTTTCAATACATAATCCATAAATTTAACTCCATATTCCTTTTGTAACCCGCAATTAGTCAAGGACTTTTATTTTTGCGGGCCCACTTCCTGTGTTGCCCCAAACTCTGCCACCTTATTTAATGCATCCAACCTGTTTCCACGGTGATTGTGGGTCGTTGTTGGCGTCTTCCTCACAAACTGATGCAAATCTGTGAACCTACTGACTTGATTCCTTGGTGAGTTGGTTTTCTGATAGCAGTTTTACTTTAGCAGGTGAAACTTCTGCTCGATGCTCATTGGAGCGTTATTTTATCAGAGTTATTGGTGCTGCTTTCCTGGACCGTCACCAGGATTCTGTCAGAGCTGATTGTGGCTCAGTTCGCCCGACTCCCTTTGTTTGGTGCAGCAATGATTTTGTGAAGTTTTGGCACTTTTGAATTGATGCCAGTGAAGTTTGAAATGAAATTAATCAGAACAGAATGTAGCTACACTTAAGGTTGATATTGTGCAATAAATTTATTTATTTTTCTTGATTATTTTGAAATGCACTTTTACTTTAAACTGATAACTTCAGTTATCAATTTAAAGTTAAATCCTTTATTTTCTGGTGTCGGTTGAATCAGTAGCCCCCCAATGTGGGGCTACAGCCCCACATTGGGGTGTGTCCATGTTGGCTTATTCTCATGTTGTTATCAAATGTAAAATATGTCAGAGATGCAGCGATCAGAGCTTTTCTGTCCATCACTGATCTCCAGTTTTCATTCTGCTCTGATCTTCCAGTTCCTGGATTTTTTCTCCAGAGAGAAAAATGTTCTGCAGGTTCTGAGTTTCAGGTAGAAGTTCTGAATGAAACAGAAAATATTAAGATTTTATCACTTTATGCTTCAAAGCAAAGCATTGACCTCTGACCTTCATGGGACGTGAATGTTTTACTTTAACTAGGACTTTCTGAAAGGCAGAATTGATGAAAAATATCTTAATGCAAATATTTAAATTTGAACAGGAAA